CGTTTCAGAGCCGTAACGGGAAGCAGTTAGCGTTCTTCTTTATTAAAGATTTCCATCGGCAGCTGCAGAATGAATGTACCAATTGGACTATATATACGTGTCAGCCCTGGAGGACGCCGAAACTGACCGAAAAGTCGAGAAATATGACTTCGGAATAGCTGTTTTCGGTCTCAACCCTTGTAAACACACCGGGAATTCTTTCTAAAAAATTCCGGACGACGGGAGGTTGAAGTGTACATGAAAGGCACGTAGATTCCATGTTTGTAGACGATCATTTCTCACAAAGCCAGAGTAGTAGCAAGTTAGAGAGCAGAGCGAAAGCCACGGGACATTTTCCAAGCTTCATAATATGTTGTGTTTCAGGTCTAAGATTCAAGAAAAACGGTAAATTCCTTTGATTAAATTCACAGCCCCCGAGCATTGAAGCTATATAAAGGAGAGATCTCACCAGCATAGAGCAAACTGAACTCACCTGGCTCAATATTCCCTATAATTCTAAGGAAATGAGGTCCCAAGACGTTTTTACCCCCCTTCTATGCGGGGTTATGCTCATTGTTTTGACCGAGGCCGTCCCTCAGGACCGCAAAACTGCATTATTTTCTCGAAACATGGATGTGGAAAGCTTCATTAGCTCTCTTGATACTGGAAATGGCGGCAGGGAATATGGCGCTGAAACAAATCATATAGTGCAAAATGTGAAGAGAGAAGACACATCTTGGTCTCTGACGCTGTATAACGGAATGAACTGCGAGGGAGACTACTATTTTGTGGAAGGGATCAACTTGAAAGACCCGGCCAAATGCCTGGATTTGATTGGGGGCATTGATTCAGATCCTACTGACAGCGGAGTGTTTTGCAAATACTTTACAAACGGCGGCTTCAGCTCTGTGGCATGCAATAACAGTATGCTGTTACCGATCTATTCATGGACATTAAAGGGTGGGGATTGTTTGACTTCTGAGAACAATTGCACGGATAGGGGGGTACCAAATAAAGTGATGAAGCCTAAACCCAAGGACGAGCCTCAATGTCAACCAAATAACGAAGGGACCTACTTCAATGTTGAGTCTTTGATATGTTTGCCACATTGACAAGGGTTTATGTCGACGCGGTTGTTGAAATTTCAGCAAGTTGGGGCCTGAGGTGCTTACGCGAAAATATCAGACTTGTTAACTTCATTTGAAGTTCATGTTTCCCAAGGTTACCTACTAGTATCATGCTATCTCGCCAATTTTGAAGTCAGTTATTGTCACGACCTAGGCTATTAAGGTAGCTGTATGTATGCTACAAAATGAATGTCATACTATTTTCTAGTACTCAAAAGGCCTCGAAGAGACGCCATTTTTTAATTCGTATATTTTGAGGGTTGCGTGAAATTCGATCCACCCTACCAAAAGCTTGGAAGCGATCAACACCGCCTTCAGCGGGAAGAAGACACAAATTTAAAATCAGTTTGAATGAATTATAAGTATGTGTGCTAGTCCGCTGCTTGAATGGTCTCATTCCCCCCAAATCGCCCCCTCTCATCCGAGCTGATACTGGCATCTGAGATCTCAGAGCCATGACGTGCACGTTGAGAGCTATGATGGTCAAAGGATTCATGAAAGTAAGATGTGCGTCCAGTGACAACGTCATCTATTGATAGGGACGGTACGTTTGATAAAGACGAGGGGCTTCGGTGATGTACATGCTTGTAGGACTGCCCTGGGTCAAATTCAGTGGGGCTTTGTGGGGATACTGGAGAATCGCAGCCGTGCGGTGGGCCAAGTGGCGGAGTGGTAGCGGGGGCGGAAGAGATGGTATTGAAGTGAGTAGGAAGCTCGGCCGGTGAAGAATCTTGACAAAAACGCCGCGTTTAGCATTTTCCTGTACGAATTTAGAGAGGAACTTTTATTACCGTGCATCTCATATACTGCATCACCCCCAGACTCAACCGTTCGGGGTGACACAGATGTGTCGATTGAATCTTGCATTGTTGAGACGTTGGCACCAGTCTCCACGCCAGTAGAGTTAGATGCTGGACTCGGCCCCGGAGAAGTAGGACCGCCTGCATACATCAATTTACGGTCTTCGGTATTTTCCATTTCTTTGGGGGTTTTCGACACAATCAATGGACGTTGGCTGCGTCGTCGTCGGCGACGGCATATCAGCAACGCTGCAATAAGGAGAGCGATCCCAAAAAGCCCACAGAGGACACCGATAACTGGAGGTGCCCAGGAAGGAAGCCCACCGCTAGCCTTTCGTGACCCCAAGGTATCAGAGATACCAAATGGCCAATAGGTTGCAATTGGTTTAGAGTACTTTGTCTGAAAAATATCCCCCAAGGTGCTGTTGGACCAAGAAGATGGCGAAGTTGTGGTTGCGCCCCCGGAAGAACTAAATATAATACTGTGAATAAACCCTGCCAAGTGAGAAGGAGTAGTTACTCACTCTCCACCTATCTCCGAGGTGACTAACTGAGGGACCTGGTAATCATCCCATTTAGTTGGATCATAGCTGTCTTGGAATTCGAGTCTGTTGAGATTGAAATTGACAAGAACTCCATCTTCAAGACAATTGGAGCTGGCAACATGCTGACCTCCTAAAACGAGCATTTGATCAGGATATACCTTCACACATCGATGCCCACTTCGGCTATGTGTGCTTGATCCGTTGTATGCCTTGATCCACTTGAACGAGGGAATAGATAGAATATAAACGTCATCCGATGGATTTGAGTTGTATTCAAGACCATCATACCCACCATAAATATAGATGTTATGTGATGAGCCGTCAGAGGAGCTGGCCAAGGCCGAACAAAATTGTGTAAGCTGTGGCGGTATTTCACCAGTCGTGTTCTGGAGATACCACGTTTTAGATTCAACATCATAAACCGAGACTGTCTCCATAAAAGTGGGGCTGATCTCTTTGCTCCTTGAGATTTGGGAGTCGCTGAGTCCAGTAGTCCGCCAAAAGTCAACCGGCTCTACAACTCCTCCGATAACAACTAACGCGCCGGACTTTGATACAGGAAGCCAAACAAGCTCTGCCTTAGAGCGACCGGACACAGAGTCAGGCAGTGAACTATTGGCCCATTTACCTTTGCCCATTTCGGACATGTTAACGGTGATGAGTGTATCGGCCGTCGAGTTGGACTTCATATCATCAAAAGTGAATGCACCCCAGTCTGGAGCACGCATGCCACTAAAGTAGAACCCCATATTCTCGCTCGGTGCAGATGTACCAGCACCATTCGTAATGTATCGGGTAACATCAGAAGGAAGATTGTCCGAGTACCACTTTGGCGCCCACATTTGAGCATCAGAGTTGTATTGATAGGCTTCGTACCCAAGAACAACATTCCCAGCCGGTGTATCGGTGACATTCGTGGCTTTAGCCATCCCGCTAGGAATATCAGGGAGAGTTAGTGCTTCCTGACCTTTCAGAGAGAAAATGCCGAGAAGAAACAAACCCGTAAAGATAGAACTCATCGTCGTTCGAAAACATTACTCCGTCAATGTAATTGGGCGCGATATTACTGGCTGCGCCCTCGACAATTGTCTTGTTGCTGAGCACGGTCATGAAATCCGAGCTAATATTAAATGGCGTGGATAAATTCAGATAGTAGATATAGCCGTTGAAATTACCTTCGTGCATCCCTTTATTAGCTAGCATGCAGCGGCTGGTCGAGTCAGAACTCCCTCACCATCGTTGATCTGGTTCGCGCAACCGTCATCGTACCCTCTAAATTCATCAGCTGGAGATTAGGTGTAAATGGGCCGCTGCGTACTGCTGTAACCATAGAGAGCCTCCATCTAAGTAGACTGTGTCGTGTAAAACGTTCGCTATTGCTGTCAGCCGGGGGATCTCTTGTCCACTATAAAGTGGACGAACAGAGGAACGCACTCCGAAGACCTTGCCAGTTACACATCGTCAGATTCACCTGTGTCTGTCGAGTACTGCACATCGACATTGCGTTGTCGACTGCAAGGACCAACACCAAGAGCCCCCGCCACGGAGAAGCTTCATTTTGGGACTGTGGGAGTAAGAATTACAATCCTAGGTGCCCTGGATAGAATATCACGACAAAAGTATTCACGGCTCAATGCTCACTGCTCGGCGACATAGGAAGAGCCTTTCTCGGTGGGATCTTCGGAAGGGCGGTGGAGACGAGAGATGTTCTGAATGCGAGCTTACTGAAAGCAACGAAAAAGGGGATTCTTTGTTGTCCTTCGGCTCTTTGCTGGAAACACCCCAGCATCTCAGCCTCGTCTGCGTTGAGGAGGGTGCAACGATGAAAGAAAACCAATGCACGGCCTCGAGCTCGTCCCAAGAAAGATCCCGCGCTGTCTCTTTGATCATGTCCTAAAATGGTAATTTTGTTGGCAAGAACGAGCCGTCCGCATGGAATGCATCGAATGTATGTGTCTGCTCTGCAGGGCGCGATTATGTGATCGGCGTCGATTTCGAAGCCAGTTCATAGCGGGGAAATACGAGACTGGGCGCCTTACCAGCTGTTCACCACATCCCAGAGATAATGAAAACGAGAGGCTGGGTTACTTTGGGTTGGGCAAGGTTCTTGGGCAAGGCTGTCAATCAATCCATTCATTGAAGGGCTTGAAACCCCCTCAATGGTGCCATGCGGCTGAATTGCCCGGCTTGCATCCGCTAGCTCCATTCGAAGCTCGCCCCTTCGAGCTGCCGACACACCCGCATGGCCACGGTCCCGTATTCCAAATTCGTCTTATTCCCCCGAGCTGAATGGTTTGCTCGCAGATGACGAGGATGTGAACGGGAGCCTGGTAGTATCTGGGCGGTGTCGAGGCCCAGCCCGTGTTGCATGCATGCATAATGCATCCTTTGAGGCTCGCACAATTGAGTCGGTTCAAGAACTGGGGACGAGACGGGCCGTGCATAGGTTGGGGTGCGCTATATTTGCATATTTGCCTTCTCGCGACTCTTCTTTGTTTCCCCTTGACTGTGTCCTCTATCCTGTACTCCTGCACTCTATCCTTTACAGGATGGTGAATATGAGAACTTCCATCGTTTGGTTGTCACTTTTAGCGACCAGGGCTACTGCACTATCTACATCTTCAAGTTACGATGAAATACCCACCGTTATTCCCGTCACCCCAGCGACAACTCCAGGGCCTGTGGCCCGAGGGGTATTAGTGCCCGAGGCTGTGACTGTGACTGTGACTATAGGAGTGACCATCGGTGTTGGGGCTGGTCAGATTCATACCATCACGAACACCGTGACAAATATCATCACAAACACCATAACGTGCACTGTCATAGATAAAGTTACAGATACGATCACAAATACCATCACGAATATTCAGACCGACACAGTGACAGAAACTATTACCAACCCCGGAAGCGCGACTAAGACTGAGACTGTCACAGAAACCACTACCAGGACTGTAAGTGATGAGGCAAGTGCTACAGTTACACAGACTATCACCAATACTATTACGGACTCTGCAACGGAGACTATCACTCAAACAGTGAGCGGTACAGGAGGCACAACGGTGACAGAGACTATAAGTGCCCCTGCAACCACAGAGACTATCACTCAAACACTGAGCGGTACAGGAGGTACAACAGTGACGGAGACTATAAGTGCCCCTGCAACCACAGTAACAGATGTTTCTTCAACAACAATAACAGTCGGTCGGTCAACGACCACAATTATCACGACATCAACAGTCAACGCAGGTGAATCCACAGTCACTCTACCTGGGTCAACCGTCACAGTTTCAGGGACAACCGTAGCTCTAGCTGGATCAACTGTCACCGCCCCAGGAACAACAGTGGCAAGGCCTACAATTGTGATAACTGAAACCGCCCCAAGGACTGTATCAACAATTCCTGCATCTACAATTACAACGGTCCTTACTATCCCTGCTAGCACCGTGACATTGCAAGGGGGTACCAGTATTATTTCAGGCTCAAGTACAACTACAGTCATCACACAACCTCCTAGCACAGTAACCCTTCCAGGTACATATGACCGATGCCCTATTGTTGAACTGTACTAAATATTCCGCCTTCAGCAACCATCAGAACAGTCCCCGTGACAGTCACCAGTGTTGAGTCCGGGTCGGGACGTACGGAGACACAAAGTTCAGGAAGCACCGTGACTCTTAGCGTGTCAGTTTGCTCGACACTAACTATCAACCCGACCTATACACCTCCTTCGAGGCTACCAGCAGACTACACTTGGGGTTGCCCACCGGGCTTCCTTTGTTCCCCATCTCACACCGGTAGCAGGGCTGGGTGCAATGTCGAAGCTGGACTTCCTGCTGAAGGCTACATTTGTGCCCCATCTGATTGTATTTCAGCCCCGCCTTTGATATTCAACCAATCCTGGGCATCTGATACAAATGGCCACCGTTTCAATTTCTCTCGAGATTATTACAACCTGAACCCAGAGGAATTCGGTCTGAAGTATGATATCTTCCAAACAGGAGAAGAGCACAATGCGACACAGAATAAACGAGACATCCTGCCCTCGCAGGGCGTTTCATCGGGCGTATTTTTGGGCTCTGTAGAGCGCAGAGATATATCAGACATCCCGGGCGTATGCTATAACGATTGCAATGATGCCGCACTAGAGCAACAAGCCACTGGAAAAAAGCCAGAGCTATGTCAAACTGATTCTGTTTATCTACTGGATATTGGAAATTGCAAGACGTGTATCGGCCATTATGCGAGCTCCTCGTCAGATGCATTCTCGTCATTGCTACCATCGTTTGCTCAATTCCTGAATTATTGCTCTGACCTGACGACGACATCAACGACTTCGACCAGCGCAGTTGAGACAAGCCACACTGATAATGGTGACACAACAACGTCGACAACATCAACCAGTGCAGTCCAAACAAGCCCCACCGAGAGTATTGCCACAACAACATCGAACAGTGAAGTGACAGAATCAATGACGCACAGCACCACTAGTAGGAAATCAAGCACATTCGCAAGTTATTCATCTGAGATGACGGCCTCGACGACAATCACTGGTATAACAACAATCACTGGCTCAGTGGCGGGTACAGAATCAGACAGCACCAGTAGACCAGCTAGCAGCACCGACTCATTGATAATCACAGGCTCAACAATGATTGTCGGTTCAACCACAATAATCGGCCCTACAACGATTATCGGGTCAGTGACCACCGAGAACTCAAATCACTCAGGTGTGTCTATTACACATGGAGGTACTGGGCAAAGCGGCACAAAGTCGAGTTCCACGATTATAGAGTGCAAGACGACCATCATTGGGCCTATGGACGAGAGCCAGTCTACAGTGACGATGACTCAAACAAGTGATGACCCAAACGAAACATCCACATCAACCCTTGGAAGTTCCACCAATGATCAAAACAATCTTACCACAACTACATCGCTGAATGTTGCACGCGGTAGGACGGAGATTTCGAATGGATCTCTGTTGGGTCTGTTTCTGACTGTTGTGGCACATTTGCTTTGAACAGGTGTACTTCTAAACGCTTGGATGTTCTGCCAGTCAGCTCGGTGAATAGAAAGATAAATACTAGTAATAATACATGGCACCAAGCAAACAATTGGAAGTATTATATATAGCAAACAACTATACGTAAGACTCAAACCGTTACTTTAGATAAGCACTCAGAATGTTAAGACAGAGAAAGTCAAATTAGACAACAACAGTTGCCAGTGGCTTGGACAGCTAAGACGGACTTGTGGTAGAATTAACGATCCGTGGGGGTTTCCTGGATCTTCAGACATAAAACTCAAGGATTCAGCGTGATGCACCCGATATGTCTTTTCACTTTATTACTTCTACATCCGTCTCAAATTCCCTCTACTACCACTACTCGCTTAGCTAATTCAGTATTTCATTCAATTTATAAACCCATCTTAACTTCTAGAAATTCTCGACTCGGTCCTATTCGTATTTCCAAATATATCCGCCCGAGTCACCGCATTACCGAACCAAACATAACTGTTCTCTTGGCAATTTTAGCCAACAACGGTAATCCTCGATGAGAAAACAATACATGCCACGGATCACATGAATACTCAATCCCTGTATCCACCACATTCATTCCAGCTCGTATGTGATCGCACAGAGACTTGAGATATTCTCAGGTGATCAAGGCTCAAGGCTTCCAATGACGAACGTTGGAAGGAGATAGAGCTAGAAAGCCGATCTTGGGGGCAGCCAAACAAATATATCGACTGTCTGACAACCGTGAAGACCTTCCCCCTCCGAAGTGGTGAAGGGCTTACCTAAGTATCAATGGCATCAAAATAGCACTCGTATATTGGTAGAGAGCATAGTCGGACGAACCCATGGAGGTATAGATAATAAGATATTGGGACGCTTCTGGTTCTTGTAGTGGGATGATGGGAAGGATATTTGGAATCCGCCATTGAGCTTATGTATCAATAACTTCCAAGATTGACTGAAGGTAAATATGCATTGCTGAAGTATAGAAGCCCATCGCAGCTAATCAGACCCACCAGGGTAAACTTGAATGGAAGACAACCCGAAAACTTTTGACCTAGCCGGTATCTCGTATTCGCAAAGGAGTGATCACAATTCGTATTCAAGCATGTGAAAATCCAAGGGCGGTCAGTTTGCGCCATTTTACCTGTGATTTGAACCTTAGTTCCAAGTTGCGGTGTAATTATTAGGCTAAACCTTTCTCAGCTAATCCTTTGAATCTTCTTGCCGTAATGCTTCAAATCAATACCGCTCTTCACGTACTACCACGGAGAGTAATTATTAGAATTATGTTTTGATTTACGTCGCGGCCAACCAAAATTTTCCTGCTATTCAACATAAACCCCAAGTGGGATTAAGTGCCAGCGTAGTAGACATAAAACTTGAATTGGCAGAATTTTGACACATATGTACTTTTCAGGGGCGATCAAGGATAATTAAAGTATAACTGTCCGATGGTTTCGTGAGATGCCCGTGCAGAGGAAATATCCAAAAGGCCGCCTCGGCCCGGGCGGTGCTATATTAGATCGTGGTATGAGTACGTAGTCTAGATGGATAAATAGTACCCGAGAAACCTTACTCAAGATCGCTATTCAGTGAATTGGCGCTAGATCACCTGGGAATTTTATTCGGGGATTTCCACGGCCTGGCGATCCAGCCCTGGAGGTCATATCAATGATAAAGCCAATGTATTGAATTTCAAGAAGAAGCCACCTGGGAATAGATAACACAGATTTCTCTCAATAAAGATATGGCATCCAATAATTAATAGCTCAAACATCTATATATAATTGCAAAATTGATTTATAATATCCATTCGAAGAGCTCGGACTTCGATAGCGCTGGGAAAGTTTCAATTCAAACTTGCTGCCTGTAACCTTGGTGCCCGTAGATCAATTCTGTTTCATCCAGTTCCTTATGCTGACCAGTGAAAATCTGGCTTGGATGGAACACAATAAAGATGGCCATGACACACAGCATAAGGGTCGCGTCGAAGATATAGGCAAAGTACTCATGGCTTTGCAAAAAGCCAGTTGACCCTTGAATGTACTCAATGACTCGGTAGAGGCAACGGACCATGATCATGACACTAGCGAAGTACAAAACCTTCATGTAATGATCCCAGTTGAATGAAGCGGCCATAGCAGCGGACGTGGGGTAACCTGACATCCGTTTATGGAAAGCAATTGAAATGGAAACAAAGAAACCAAAGAAGATAATCTGGACGATAAGTCCCACGATGATGACAATTTCTCCGAGTTTCAGTTTGCTAGCCGTTTTAGCACTTGACATAATCGCACCACCTAAATGGGATTAGTCACATCGAACTTCTCTTACAATCAGGGGCCGGGAACATAATACTGACCACCGCTCTGGATCAAAAACGACAATACATCGCCCGCAACAAAGATCTTGGTTAATCTGCTTCCGCGAACCATGGATCGGCTGTCCCCATCGGTCATGCGAATGATACGACCAAGAATCATATAGATCGATGCCGCGAACAGTGACGGGCCAAGGAGAATAAACAAGCTTTGAAGTGCATATGGCATGGTCGCGTAGTCAGGTGCCGAATGTGCGCTGACAGCTCGCGCAGCATAGCCAATGGATTCGAAAAGGCCTCCAACGATAAAAGCAATCAAGAACTTAAGTTTATGTTTGAAAGCAAGGAATATATGTCCAAGTGTGAGGGTGAAGAATAGAATGATGAAAATCACAGCAGCGGCTAATGACGGCGTGTAGTTGTAGAGAGTGTAGGCCATTGTGAATCGCGTATTGGGCTCGATGGAGTCGGCAGAGAAGAAAATGGAAAAAGAATAGTAAAATATGGGAAGAAAACGAGAAAAAAATATAGACTCAGTCGGGGGCTAGGAGCTGTGGGACATTTCATGTTATATCACGAAATGAGAATTATACTATACGGCGGTCCGGGGATCACTAGTTAGTCACCAGGTTTCATGTCTAGGTGGCTGAAAGAGGTGACCATAAGGATTTTCATCTGGACCGAGCGAAAAAGTTGAAAATCCACACTTACCAAACAATTGCCGAGTGTTATTTTTAGCTAGATGCGCTGTCAGAAATTTTGACAATAATTATTCCACATAATAACTAGCAGTTAGATGTTTCTACTTGAGCAATCCGAGTAATCCGAATACGAACGCGACTGGTGGGTCCTTTACCCGAGCCCGACGGGCTATTTGTAGCGTTTTGCCCATCTCAGACTCAGCTAGTGTACATTCTGTGACAAGAATAAAATAATTTTCATCGAATAAAATCAAGGGAAGTATGATAAAAATGCTCGGTTGGTAATTGGCGAGCAGTCACGGCGAAACCAAAACCCCAGGATAAATTGAATTTCTGCAAGTTTCTCGCGACTTGGAGATCTAGTTCTTTCCACGACACCAATCATTTTCAACCCATAACTCGATGGCTCTCAGCAATGCTGCTGTAATCGTGATCGTCCTCGTTTGTTGCCTTTCATCTGTTTCGCTTGCGGCAGCTATGTTTGGTCATTATTCAATTGCGCGCAATCCCCAATGGTCACTGTCAACCGATCAGCAACGATATATGCGGGAGCTGAGGCTCAGAAATCTCAATGTTCTTCTAGGAGAAATCAGGAGCAGGTACCAGCAGCCCTTATAACTATGAAGCTCCGTTGACTCCTGGAGGCTGCTAATGGAACATCAGGGCTAATTTGACGATAAATAAACATGGGAAATTTGCAACAGACCCCGAGACACAATCGGTGGCAGAAACCGAGTCACAAGCTTGATTATGGATGAAGAGGTGTCAACCAAACTTCAAATTCTGTGTGAGGAAGGATTGTTGATGCGGATCGTGATACTAGTATTTTATTTGTACGACGGATGATTAATAGTTATTTATGATAATTGTGATATATGATCTGCCCGCCGGCGCATATTTGAGGATTTCTGGGACAAATAGCGGCATATATGCATAAACTGTATGTAGAAGCACTTAAATCTTCAAAAGCTAGCCACATCCATTATCCCACTGACATGTATTTCTCGAGGTTCCGTTGGTGTTTCTTGTCAAGCTTTTGAAGTAGCTACCATTACTACCACTGACTAATAATGCAGATTCTAAGTGCAGATTCCAAGCAAGTAGACCATTGGGGCCAAAAGATCAAGCCAGAATGCAGCAGTAAATGCGACTTATATGAACTCTGATATACAGTGCCCAGCCTACTATTTAATTCCCCCTAGGGAAGTGTTCCTCGTGGCTGTAAGGAACTGGTGTTGTTACCATTCGTGGATGCCTGACGTAGATGGCATCCACTTAGGCATCCACGCCTACATGTACTTAGTTCTATCTCAGCTTCCTCCTTCTTCTTCTTCTCCTCAAGCTATTACTTTTCGTCGAACAGCTACTGTTTCCTTTGCTTCGTATGCTACGCCGTACGTTGATCTCTGTGAGCATCTGAGCATCCTCACACTCAAGTGAGCATAATATCATTCAAATTTTGCGCTGTTCTAGCATTTCGATTTAGCTCAGTCTACTATCCCTTAAGAGCTGATGTAATTCAATGCTTTTAGTATAAGGATCCCTACAGGAACGATGCAATGGCACCGATCGATTAAGGTCAATTTATCCGGGCTGTGACTCCACACCACTCGGCAAATAGAACTTTAAGCCTTGGTATAGACTATTCCAGTACCGAATTGGACATTACTGTTCGTGTTGTGAGATGAGGCTGGTGCAGATCAGGAATGAAGCCGCATCATCGGAATTAATTCTGAGTTTGTCTATACAAAGAACCAAGTTGATTGGGAATCAACTTGATCTTCGCCTTGTAATATAGTCTCAGTCAATCCATCTGGTACAAGAGAGTCGATTTCATACCCTGAACTACAACAGTTCGCAATATAGGCTGCTAACAACGTGGGCATCTGAAGTTATGCGAGATTGTCGGCTAGAATTTCTGCGTATGCTTCTAATGCCTGTCCCATCAGATGTACCACATCCCACATGATTTCACCGCTGTATAGCTGCGCCCAGATCCGTACAGCCCGGAAAGCCAGCTCAACATGGTTAAGCGAGCTTTCTGCAGCGTTCATCAAGCAAAATTCCGAGTCGGCCTCTGACACCATGTCCACTATGTAAGCTTCCAATCTCTCCTCATCTTCATCGAATGGCTCCTTAGGAAGACGTGTGTGTACGGCAGCAAACCATTTACTAAGTGCAAATGCACACTCAAGAGCGCAAAGCGACCGTTGAAGGGACCAGGCAAATGCTTGACTGCGAGAAACGATGTTAACTCCAATCTTGACAGGAACACTCAAAGCATGCGCGGAGTACAAAACAGCCCGTGTTAGTCTGGGACCAAGCTTCGCACGGGGGCTCTGTTTCATGGCATCATTTCATACCGTGTATCAGCTTTTGAATATTGGTGAGGCAATGGAGATCTGTGCTATGACGGCGATAGGTGGTTACCGACGGCAGCCACTTCACCGCTCGGCAATCGCGCCGCACTGCACATCAACAGAGGGACCCACTGATTCCGGCCCCTTTACCACCAGCTCTCAACCCTCACTTACCTCTAGTTTCCACCATCAACACACCATCACTCACTGTCAAAAATCACCGTCACCCTCAACCCCAACATCAAATGTAATACTCAATACGCGCCATCCTCGATGTCCACAATACTCGCATCCCTACATCCGGACACACTCTGTCGCCACTGCTAGCCAGCAGAGTCAAGCATTCATATCAATAGCAACTACTTTCGATTTCAATCGCTGCCCAGATTGGCCACTACGCTATCATACACCGCGATCCCAACCGGCGCTATGAATAAATGCTCTACATCACGCTACGTAAAAGAAAATGCCTATTCTCAAGAATCAGAGGGTGATCGAAGGCTACAAAGCACAATGCGCTGATCATGGCCACGCACGATGGCGTCTACATTATAAAAATTATCCTTGTAGGATTATTGATTTCTATCGATTCTTTGGAGCAGGTCTTGGCTTCTTCGAGTAACTCCCTCGGATACTAGTCTCTGACACCACGAAGAGATGCCCTCCTATCACCAGAGGATCAGGACGACGACCGCGGCGCTACGGGTCGCCTAAACGAGCACAAATTTGATAAAGCAGGGCTCAAGGCTGCATGGAAGCTCAAGATTATACAGTCACAGGGCTTAAGGCTGTGAGGTAGAACTTGGTGTCGCAGCGGTCTCCTGCGGAGGCTCTTGATATCGCAGATGTCCCCGCGGAGCAAATTTTCACAACGCAGGGCTCATGGGGTGTGAGGGAGAGTTTGTTGACGCATCTTCAAGCCTATCAAAAGCGGAGCTCTATCTCACAATTGCCTCGCTCGATCATCGATTCGACTTTGACCTCTACAAGACTACTGTGGCGGACGTGAATCTTGTCCGGGACAACTTTGCCGGAGCACCTCAAGATGGCTCTTTAAGGGTGCGTGTGATTGTCGGGGCTATAAATTACTCAAATCACTAGAATGAACAGTTAGCCAATATTAGGAATAGATGAAAGTCCAGAAGGGATAATTCGCTATATTTTACTTATGGCATTTATCGCGGGGGGGAGTTGGCGGTTTAGGGTTTTGTTCGATTCTTTAAATGGAGAAAGTTAACAGATTGCACTTAGGCCGTGATTCTTGTAGAATCGATTTCTTGCAAATTTCCTCACTAGCGCTGCCGCTCACTGAGGTGGCTCCTTAGCCCGTGGGCAGTAAAACCTTGAAATCGTATGGATCCCTTCCGAGGTTGGTCCCCCGAGTATTTTGTTCCTCATGCCACTTGCTTCACAAGGACGGTATATCCTACGAATTCACGCCCCTACCCTACAAATTCCTTGAGGGAACCCTCCATGGAGTGTCGATCTGCCTTGAGGTGGCGTCGCCCAGCGAGATTTCATCCATTGTTGCCAGGCTCCTGAAGCCGTCCACATGCTAAGGGTGTGACAGCCTACCAAATCTAGTCGAAATGGAATAAGACAGGAAAGGGATCTTCCTATCACTTGGAAGTGACTATTGTCAGGGTGGTAACAGTGTCACGCTTCCTACACCGCATCGTACCATGCCTCCCGGTCAACTACCTTTGACCGGGATCACCTCGTTCCCCTTTCCCCAACAGAATAAGCCAAATGACAACCTCAGCGAAATGGATTGGCTTGTAAAATTTACAATTTCATGATCTTCATATTGCGTGTACGAACTCTTGGCGCGTGCCAAATAAGAAACCACACAGACTGACAAGATGACCCTAAAATACCATTATCTGCCCACCATTATGGTCGAGGCTACAACTTTCTGTTCGCGGTGAACACGCATCACAATTCACACGTCACATTTTATCTTCTTCACTTCTTCACTGGGGACCGAAGGTCTCTTTAAAAGGTACCACTTATTGTCTGCCTTGAATTTGGCGATGCTGCCTTCAGTCGCGCTCCTCATCATGGAATGTACGGGTATACGAGAACCAGTGGTCCGCTTTTGGGGTTATCATAGTAATCCTTAGAGCGAGCTCCCTCTATTTAGTTTAGAGGATCTCAGCTCCTGAAGATTTGTCTTTTGATTGCCACTTTCATCAAAGTTCCTTTCTTCCAGCCACTTCTCTAGTGCAGGTTTCACACTCCCATCCCACTCATCTCGCACAATTGAGAACCAGGCAGTATCTCTGCTTCTTCCCTTTACAACCATGTGTTGTCTGAAGATACCCTCAAAAGTAAATCCCAGCCGGAGGGCTGCACTGCGCGATGGGGCATTGAGCGAA